CTAGAACTTGAATAGGCAGGACAGACACCCATGTGCTTTCTAAGAAGGCATGAGATCTTTTCCATCTCGTGTCAAGTTTAGCTAACTGTTCAGAGGAGACTTGAGGCACAGCTTCTGTTCTTACTCACAGAGCGGGTAAGGCCGTCTTGATCTCCAGCTTGGCCAGGAATGAAAGAGAATTCCTTGCTGTCCTTTAAAACCCTGCCATCCTTCTTCAGCATCTCTTGGGACTGAAGGAATTGTTGCTGGGCCCTTTGTGCCTACTTCCCAGGTCAAGGGCTGGTCCAGTCCCCAGCCTCTCTCCCTGTGCATCATCCTGATGCAACTTCAGGGCCTGGCCACCTGCTGCTGTGGTGCTTGATGCTCTTACCCGGGTCTTGGCAGCACCTGCACGCACCAGGCAGGCTGTGCAGGGCTTCTGCTCAGCGCCTAAATAGAAAGCATCCAAGCCTAGGGGTTACCCATAAGAATAATAATACTAGCAGTTCTTATTATTATAGCCAGCATTTATTGAGCAAAGCATCATACTAATCACGTTACATGGATTATCCTATTTAATCCTCACAATAGTCCTATGAAGTGGGTAGTATTATTATCGTATTTTACAGGTGAGGGAATAAGAAACTGCCAGTGAATTCACAGGCAGGAAGAAGCAGAGCTGGGATTCAGACGCAGGCAGGCTGAGTCCGAAACCTCCCCTGTAGTACCGTTTTCTGTGCTCATGCTCCTTTGAGGTCAGAGGTTCTAAGTGCCTGCAGGTCTCTATGCTGGAGCGAAGGTCAAGGTCGGGGGGGGGGGCTCCTGGGAGAGGACAAATTCTCTTTGAAATGGTGGAGGAGGAAAAGCATTGCTGTGGAAGAAAGTACGGAAGAGAGAGAAGTGGCCAGCAGGCACCTGGCAGGGCGGTCTGTCTGTGGAAACGGGAGATGGCACTTCTCAGCTCCCAGGTGGAGGAGATGTGCCAGACAGTGCTCCTACCTGCACCTCCAAGGGTTTCTATCCAAGGACCGGACCTTCCGGACCAAACCTGCCAGGGGTCATGAAGGACAGGGATGTTCTCTGGGGCCAGGAATGAAAAGCATCAGAGAAGGAGGGACAACAGTTTCAGGTGGTCACCAAGAGGAGCTGATTTACTTCTTCCCTCCCACCCCTAGTGGGATTCCCATGAGTCGTTGGGCTGTTATACAGGATGCTGGGGGCGTGTGGTGGTGAGGGGATTCAATGACCCCACGATCCCTGTTCTTAAATTTCCTGGGATCAGCCCTAGGGACCAGCCAGTGCCCACTGTCTAGGGGTGGGTGCACACCGAGAACATGAGGAGCTCACAGCAGACACCCTGCCCAACACCCTTCCCTTTCACCACCACCAAGCTGCTGTCCGGGAGTAGTGATTTTCTATCACTTGCTGCCTCAGTTCAATCTGCACCGCTGGCCTGGGGATCAGAGGCCCTGGGTCACAAAGACAGAAACTCTGCGAGGCCGGCCAGTTATCTGCCTTGCCCAGCCCCAGCACTGGGATTCCCTTAGCCTGCGGGCCACCCGCAGCGCCTGCTGAGACGTGGAAGCTATCGCTGCAGTGACTCAGGAGCTGCTGCTCTGAACAGCTCCGCACCCTTCTAAATGTTTCTGGTAGACCTGTCTACACTCACTTTCCAACAAGCAAACTGACTGCCCTCGACCCTACAGGACAGGGTAGAACGGCCCCGTGAGTTTCTGAGACTCTGTTTTTAAGAGTTGGAAGTCCCATCTTGCCGTAGCTGCTTTTAAATCTTTCCCATTGCGATCATGCTCCAAACCTTCCTCCTTCCCCCAAAGCTCTTACCTTCTACCTTACTGAGAGGTAAACACTCCCTTTGGCCTCATCCAAGTAAGCCCGATCTGGCTGGCTCCTCCCCCTGGCCCTGCCCATCATTCCTGCTCTCACAACCACCCACAGCGTCTCTTTCTCCGATTCTCCGTCTTCAGACAGGTCCAGACCGCCCGTTCTCCCGATTCCTCAGCTCTCCTGGCCGACTTCTCTTGCTTCCCCCTTCTTGTCTCCCACTCACGTCTTAATGTCTCTGTCCAAGTCTTGCTTCAGTCCCTTGTGGAGACCCTCTCCAAGGTCACGGACAGTCATCAAAAGCCCCGAGTGTGTTTCTCCTTGTAGTCAGTTCTCTTCCATCTTGATGTCATGGTTGGCGCTGTGGACTGAGTTCGCTTCCCCTCTGACTTACGTGAAACCGCCCTACCCAGACTCTCCCGTCTCCTGTGTGAACACCACTTCTCTGGTTCTTCACCAGCTCTGTCTCTTTCCTCTTTTTTCTGAAAATAGATGCCCTCCAGCCTCCACTCCTTAGATAAATTCTTGTATCTCTCAACTCCCTTTGTCTTGACCCAAACTCATTGCTATCAAGTTGGTTCTGACTCATAGTGACCCTCTATAGGGTTTCTGAGGCTGTCAATCTTGATGGGAGCAGACAGCCTCATCTTTCTCCCTTGGAGCATCTGCTGAGTTTGAACCATGGACCTTACAGTAAGCAGTTCAGCGTGTACCCAACAGCCCTATGCCTTCGGTGCCAGCCGACCCATGAGTATTTCCACCTGGATGTTGTCCCCTTTGCCAGTTAAGATATGAATGTGTCGGACTCGTGTCCTCACTCTGCTGCCAAAGCTGCCATCCCTCTGCACCGATTCCTGCCACAGATACGTCCCACCAACCTTCCAGTTGCACAGAACTGGGCGCTGTGAACAACAGGTGACACCAGTTAGGCGCCCAGATCTGGTCACTGTGGCATCCCGGTGCCTCGCCGAGCTCCTCTTCCTTTTCAGAGGTCCCCGCTAATGCCTTTCTTCCAGAGGTCACGCTTTGGCGGGATCCATTTGCACACGTGACCTCTAGTTTAGAAATCACTCGTGGTTTGGGACCCTCTCAACCCGGTCCTCTCGTGTTGGTGGCAGCCTGGCGCCGTCAGAAAGCCCGCGGGCCTTTGAGGCTGTGCGCTGACGCCGCGCCAGCAAGCAGAGTGGTCTTGAGTGACCACCTTTGGAGGTTGTCGTGAGAGTGATTAAGAGTACGCCCACATCTATGCTCTAATCTGTCTATCTTATCGACACATCGTAGGTGCTCAACTAATAGAAAATCGCCAGCATCATCCGAGTTTTCAGCCTCCTTTTCTGTTTCTGGCTAGACCCCGGTCTAGGACTGAATCCCTGAGAGCAGTGTGCACTTCCGGCTTCCGTGCCCTTATTTATGCCTCCCCCAGCATCCGCTTCTAACATCCTCCTCTGCGTCTTGACTCTTTTCTTTTTTTTTTTAATTTTGAAGTGCTTTTTATTTATTTATTTTTTTATTAGGGGCTCATACAACTGTTATCCCAATCCATACACACATCAATTGTGTAAAGCGCATTTGTACATCGTTTCTCAAAACATTTTCTCTCCACTTAAACCCCCGACATTAGGTCCTCATTTTGCGTCTTGGTTCTTCGTAGAATCATATACTTTTTTTTCCTGGGGAAAGAGGCCTCATAGGTTCCCTAGCAGCTCTTCTGTTTGACCGCTGAAGAAAGGAGCTGAATGCTGTCTCCAGGCTACGTGACTTGAGACTCAGTCTCCCCAACCTGCAGCCCCGTGCCCTTTCCGCTATCCTGAAACCAGCTGCCGTGATCAGACTCATCTGGCTCAGGGTGACTCCAGGTGTATCACAGTAGAACTGGGCTCCAAAGCTTTTCAAAGAACTGTTTGGTTGTTGTTGTTTTAAGTAGAGCACCAGGCCTTTCCTCTGCAGCACCTCTGCGTGGACTTGAAGCGCCAACCCTTCAGTTAGTAGCCAAGCATGTAAAGGTGGGTTCTCTGCAGGGGCTCCTTGGATCCTGCTCTGCTTTAAAGACCCTCACTGGGTTCTGACTCCTCAGTGATAACCTCCCCCAGTCCCCCACCTTCAAGAAGGCTCCTTCTCGGGCTCCTTCTGGCATTAACCTGGCCCCTCTGTAGTTACTTAGCCTTTTGGAGGGTGCATATCTTCTGGACACTTCTCTCCAGCACTGTGATGTCAGAGCGTCATCCCTATGCCCCGCAATTGCTCAGTAAAAGCCAGTTGGAGCTGAGTCTGCTGCAGCCCATGACTCACCTGGCTGGTTAAGGTAGGTGTGGCTCACACACCTCTCAGGGAAGGAGCAAAGCTCTGGGAAAGGTTGCATCCAAGGACAACTAATTTGGCCCATGGGTGGAGAGAGTCACTCCTCAGTACTGATCCTAGGGTTGGATTTTGGGTTGACGAGCTCTGACCTTTCCAAATCACTGAAAAAGCACAGTCATCTCTCTGCCCTAGTCAGATGGTTCATTTCATCCTTGGGTCTACAGAGAAGGTACCGGGCCTTCCAACCAGGCCAGGAAAGAGGTTGTGACCCAAGGAAGACCTCCAGGCAAAGAAAGTTGGCCATCAGCCAGCCACCCAAGGACGGACAGGGTGTGTACTTGCTTGGGCACAATAAGCAGACTCAAAAAGAAGTTGTTCAGGGCTGGTGTCTGGCCCGGGACTGGGCGCCCTGTTGGACTCCTGTAATCCTGTTCTGGTCTGGCTGCATCAGAGCTCTGGGAAGGGGGAAGGCCCAGCCCTGCCCACTGACTCTGGAGGCCTGGGACACAGGTCCAAGGGAAAACATCATTCCGGAGTGGTCTCCAGGCCCAGAAGTCCTGCTACCAGGGGAGATATGTGAGTGGATAAGGAGGGAAGGGTGGGCAGAAAGCCTCACTACCTGAAGTCAAGCCACAGTTCGGATGGCGCTCAGGCCAGAGCAGAGTGGAGACCATCTCTGTCGACAGCTGCACGAGATTGGCCCGGCAGCGCCAGCTGTGCCCGGCAGCAATCAGCCTGTCAGTGAGGGCAGCGCCGTGGGAGCAGGAGCAGGAGGACGGAGCCGGGGAGCTTGGGAGAGCCCCTCTCCGGGCTGGGTGGGAGGGCACCGGGCCAGGTGACGGAGGCACGTGATGTGTGATGCTGTTGTGATGCTGTTGCAGGATCATTCGGACCAAAGTTCAGCAGCCTTTCCACCCGACCCCCGATGGGGCTGGAACGGGAGTGACTGCCCCTGGCCACACCATTGGTAAGAGCGCTCGGCGGTCTGGGAAGGGGAACCTGAGCCCCCTGAGGGAAGCCCCTTCCCTCAGAGCGGCCTGCCAGGTCTGCGGCCCAAGGCTTGGTTAGCCAGTTTCCCAATCCCTGCTCTCCCTGAGTTTCTAGACTAGAGGTTCAGGATCTCCCTGAGAGAGACAAGTCCACCTGGATGGCTCTCTGCCTCCCACCCACCTCACCTGCCCCTGCCTTCCCTCAGTCCGTCCGTCTGCCTGTCAGTCAGTCAGTCACTCTCAATTAAGTCCACATTCTCCTTTTAGGATTTCTCCTTCTTCTGGCACTCCCCCTCCTCCCTCTCAATCGTTTGTTATGTGATCCTGTCTTCCCACCTGCCCCTCTTTTTTTCACCTCTACTCTCTAGAGGAGCCCTGGTGGCGTAGTTTGGTCAGCAGTTCGAAAGCACCTGGTGCTCTCTCTATTCCCATCCAGAGGGACAGTCTCAGGCTCTCACAGGGGGAGTTCTACCCTGTCCGTGAGGGTCTCTGTGAGTCAGCATGGGCCCCGTGGCTCTCAGTGTGGTTGTGGCTGGCTTGGCTCTGACTATTTTGGGAATGAGCCTTCTTTGAAAAGCATCCTTCTTTCTTCTTCCCGCCCCTCTCCTCCCCTCCGCCTTTTCCTTCTGTCTCCTCCTCTCCCTGTGCCTGGGCCTGGATTCGAGTCTCTTCTCGCCCCCTTCCTCCGCATGCGCTCTGTCCCTCTTGGCCAGCCTCTCGTGATCTCTCTGTCTCTGTCACACGCACTCAGCAGTTCTCTTGCCCTCGCCAGCCCCCATTCACTCAGCCTCACTCAGGACCAGGCCGCGGACACACCTGTGAAATCCACACACCTTTCACACTTCCCGTAGGCCTAAGGGTTCTTGATGGTACCACAGCTGTATTTAAGGCCTGGGGCTTGAGGGGCTGGGGTGTGATTAAAATGTCCCTGCTGCCCCTCTTGGCAGCGGTGCCCTTCTCTCTTGACCAGTAGGAGGTGGCGATGGCTGGTCCCAGCCCTCCTGGAGTTGGCAGGAGCTATTATTTATTAAGCCTGTATAACAGCGTGTGCTGGGAAGGAGGGTGAGGCCAGGCTGTACCCGAGCCGATCACTGCTCAGTGAACAAGTTTATTCACCTGTGCCCTGAAGGGAAGAGTAGGAACTGCTCATGTGGTTTCTGGACCAGAAGCAACTGTGTGCGTTGGGGAGGACCGGGCCTGTCCTGTGTCTTCCGCAGAGTTGGAGGCTGACCTCACCACGTCATAGCCTAAATCAGGACTGGCGACGACACAGTCCCCGACATTGAGGAACAGCGAACCCCGGTTTGTCAGAGGCGTTTGCTCAGTCCTGGGGGGTGAGGAAGCCCAATTTGGAGCCACGCCCTCTGGAGGAATGGCTTTCCAGGTGAAATCACTCTGGGCCTTTCCTGGGCCTGCCCTTGATCCATCCTCAGGGGAGTGAGTTTAGGAAACAGAGTGACGTCGATAGGGTGACCTCAAAGGCCTGCAGTCAGCTGGCCTTCACCCACCCCTGGGCTGAGCACGGTTTGAGTCGCCCTAGACCTAGAGCGTCTAGGTGGCCCGGTGGCCTAGTGGTTCCAGGTCGGGCTGCCAACTGCAAGGTCAGCACTTCTGAACCACCTGCTGCTCCATGGGAGAAAGAGTTTTCTACTTTCTTAGAGAGTTATGGTCTCAGAAACCCACAGGGGCGAGCCCACCCCGTCCGATAGGGTCACTGTGACCGGCCATTGACTGGATGGCACTGGGCTTGTTCTGAGACTGTATATGTGGCAGCGTGTTCCCCTTCCAGCCCCAGAGGAAGAAGGGGACTCCAGGTTCCCCACTCCCCCATTTCCTCTGCTGGGCCCTGGCCGGAGATCACAGCCATTCTCCTTATAGCACATTCTCCTCCCTTTCTCCCAGTTCCCAGCACGGCCTCCCCTCCTGTCTCCAGCGCCTCCAATGATCCAGTGGGATCCTACTCCATCAATGGGATCCTGGGGATTCCTCGCTCCAACGGTGAGAAGAGGAAACGTGATGAAGGTAGGGAGGAGGGAAGCTGAGCGTAGGGAGGAGGGGAGAGGTTTGGCTTCCCTTTTGCATGCTTTGTCCTCGGACACAGAGCTCCGGTTTCGGCCCGGCCTTGCAGCTGTCTGCTATGAGATCAATTTTAGTAGCAAAGCCCAGGTCCCCCCACTGCCCTGCTGGCTCCTGGAGAGAGGGCGGGAGGCTGCTGGTGGGGCCATCAGCTTCACCATCTGCTCAACCCCAACCACCTCCCCTTCCACTGGGACTCACCCCTCGGTCCCTGTGGGATGCCAGGAGGAGGAGCCTGAGCCATTTACCTCGGGAAGGTTGGGGAGATTGGGGGACATCTGGTCTCTGACCTGAGGATGTAAGGCCAGCCTGCCTGTCCTCACCTGATCCCACCCCAGCAGGAGGTAGCGAGTGATGTCATTTGCAGCTGATCTGGGTGTCTTTTCTCTGTAACACATGGGCATCACCCCCCATGAACTACCTAGGGACAGGGCCCTCGACACTTGTTGGTGGGAGGAGATGGTACTTGAAGTCCTCACTTGCTCTCTCCCCAACCTCCCCACTCCTGGCACCCTTCAGAGGGTGGTAGCTCAAAGGGAAGAGGGCATGGAGGAGAATGGAGAGGAGCAAAGGAAATATTCAAATGGGGGCGGAGGGCCACTGAAATGAAGAAAGACTGCGGTCTTAGGTCTCCCCTGCCCTGGCAGCAGTGGGGAAAGTGTTTCCGAATGTTGTGGCAGGAGGGATCCCTTGGTTAGCATTTGCTTCTCTTCGGGTGCATGAGATCAAAGCCCAGGGAGATAAGCAGGGGCACGGTGTCACAGTGTCTCCAGTCAGGCCCCCACCCCGCTTCTCCTAGGGCCCCCACTGGGGAAGATGTAGCCCAGCCTAGGGAAGCTGTGTGGTGTTATGGGTATCGCCCACAAAATGGACAGTATCCACGAAGGCTGGGCATCAATGGGGTGAGTGTAGAGTCCATTTTGAGCCCAGGGCAGTCCCCGTGTCTGCCTGTTGTGGCTGCATCTTGCCCAGTCAGCGTCTCTCACAAAGATCCTGTTTGGACCCTAAAGGATACGGCCATCCCAAACACAGACACGCCCTTGATGGGGGTAGCTTCGGAGGGTGAGGATCAGAAAAGAGAAAGCTGGGATTCCCTGAACCAATGGTCGGAGGCTTCCTGGACCCAGGCTATGGGTGAGGAGAGAGAAAGAGCCTTGGCCTTCAGCAGAAGGGACAGAGTGGATGAGAGCCCTAGGTCTGGAAAGACAGGCGTGACCTGGTGCTGGCCTCCTTCCAGAAGCCCTAATGGCCTCGTTTCACAGGGAAACAGCTTGTCTGGCTCTATTTCTCCTTCTTCCAAAATATCCAAACCCATTTGGCTGCCACGGCCTTTGCCACTCACTAAATTTCATTGTGGTTGTTTTGGCGGCAGCCACTGATGGGCAGGGGGAGGCTGAGTGAAAGCCCTAAGCCCCGATTCCCCCGAGGGGCACTTCTTCCCATACTGGGGCCAGAGCCAAGCCCTCTGGTACCCTCTGGCTTAGAAGATTCTGCCTCAAACCCCCAAAGGCGGCTTCTCTTTCGCATCACGGACGCTGCTTGTTTTTGCAGTGAGGTGTGCAGGGGTGGAGGCAGCTACAGAAGCCCCTCTGTCATGACTGTTAGTCTCTGTTAACTTGAGGTTGGAGCCAAGCATGTCCTCTGCTCTCTGGGTGCCTCTGGCCATGAAGGGAGGTGGGGGTAGGGAGGCGCTGGCATGAGGCTGTAGCCACCCAGGGGCGGGCCGGGCGGGCCCAGAACACAGCACCTCCTTTCGGAACAGTTGATCATGTTCGCTCATTGTTTCTAGTCTATTCAGTTTAATGAACCTTTCGTGCACATCAGTTGTAAGAAAGGCTGGGTGCTACCGAAGCCTAAAGCAGAACAAGATATGATTCTTGTCCCTAAGGACCGTGTCGTCTGGCAGGGCGTAGAACGCACGTGAACCCAGAGCGCAAAAAGGCCCATCAGATATGTGTGTTGTAATAGAGATCTGGGCTGTAAGCCACGGCCACTTCAGAGGCAGGAGGGCGTAAAGCACCAGGAAGGGGTGCTGTTTGAGGACAGACGCGCAGATGGGTGGGGAGGATGACCAAAGACAATGGTGGTGTGACATTCTGATAGCCTGGGACTTGTGCCCAGCAAGTCCTGCTGGTGGGAAAATGCAGAGCGCTTTGGCTGCACTGAAGAACAAGGGGGAGTGGTGGGAGGTGAGGGCAGGGAGGTGGATGGGTGGCTTAGTTATCTAGTGCGGCTACAGCAGAAGCACCGTACATAGGTGGAAAGTTATTTTCTCAGTTTAGGAGACTAGAAGTCCAAGTGCAGGGTGCCAGCTGGGGGAAGGTGGCTCTTTTGGTCAACCCTGGAGGAAGGTCCTTCCCTCTTTGAGCTTCTGCTGCCGGCTGATCTTCAGGAGGCTTGACATCGCTTCCTCCCAGCTGTGCTGCATTTTGCTACTTGTTTAAGCTTCTTTATATCTCAAAAGAGACGACTCAAGTAACACTTTACACTAATCCTGCCTCCTTAACAGAGCAAAGACCACCCATTCCCAAATGATAGAACCACAGACATAGAGGTGAGGATTTGCAGCACATACTTTTTTTTAGGGGGGGGGAGGGGACAAAAGTTGATCCATAACATTTGACCCTTTGGCCCCACCCCAATTCATCCACCCTGTCACATCATCCCCAAAGTCTTAAGTCCAATTCCGAAATCCCATCTTCTGAGCCATCTAAATCAAGCAGGAGTGAGATTTTAGGCATATTCCAGCTTGAGGCAAAATTCCTCTTCATCTGTGAGCCTACAAACCTAGAACACACATTAGCTGCTCCCGAAGTTCAGTGGTGAAACATCCATGGGAGACATTTCCGTGGTAAATGGGATACGTTGGAGACAGAAAAGGGGCAACAGGTTTCAAGTATGATTAAAACCCATCGAGCAATGTTCAGCAGCTTTGAAACTAATACTCTGTTCTCTGAGACCTCTAGGGCAGGACTGTTTCCTTCCAGACTCTGGGTCTTGGCCATGATCTCTGGAATCTGCATAGTGACCCCTTGGCTCTGGGCTTCAGCTCTGCCTTTCAGGCCCACTGGGATGGCAGCTCTGCCCCCTGGACGTTGGGCAGCCAGGGTCTCCTAGTCCATCTGAATGGTGGCCCATCTATCAGGGGCGGCTTCAGTCTTTCCCCCCTTGGGCATGGCAGCCCTACCCACTTACTTTTGCCTTATGGCCCCATCTTCCTGGCACTCCTTGGTGGCAGCCTGTATTCCAGAACCAAGTTGGTGAACATTGTCCCCTTTGAAATCTGGGAGACTGTGGCCCCACCCTTTGAGGTCTAGGAGACGATTTGCCCCACCTTTTAAAACCAACGAGGCCCTGCTTCCTGCACTCTCTCTGACAGTTCTGTTGACTGTCAAGCTTCGCCAGGGTTGGTCACTTTCCTTCCTTGGGAGAAGCAGATGTAGCTCCTCTCCCGCCTTAGGATTCCAAGAGGCAAACAGTGCTCTTTTCTTTCGAGCCCTTGGTCTACACTAAGGGTTTTTGTTTGTGCTGCGATCGTTAGATCCACCAGCCACTGACTTAATCTCTTTAACAAAATATTGTGGAGCCACATTTCTGGTGAGTATTGTAGGACACATGTCCATCCATGGTTTGTTTATACAAGGAAACTTTCCAAATCCTTAAATTGTGTCTTTGTTTCGCAGTTCATGTTTAAGTTCATCTCTCTTCTTCTACATTCTACAAGTTGCAAGGAGAAATTCCATAGCCCCCTTAAGAGCTTCCTTAGAAATCTTAGCCAGGTATTCAAGTCCACGACTTATAAGTTCTACCTTCTAACAAACATTCAAACACAGTTCAGACAAGTTCTTTGCCACTGCTTAAAAACACCACTCTTCCTTTGTCGTTCAATCCCATGCTCATAATTTTCTTTGAAAAACTCACCAGGAGTTCAGTTAGCACCTGTATTTCTAGCAACATACTGGTGCTGGTGCTCTCTGTACTCTTGAACTAGTGGTGACTTTGTCAATAGCTCCCTTCCTTTCTTCTGGTAGCCTTCCCCAGAATTACCTTTGATGTCCATAATTTTACCGGTCGCGTCACGGCGTTCTAGACTTTTACCGTTAGACACCTTAGAACTCTCCCAGGCTTCACCCATTACCGAATGCCAAGACTTCCACATTCTAAGTAGCTGTTAGAACTTTCCAGTGCTCAATTCTGCTTTGGTTACAGTGTTCCTAAAACAGGAATGCCAAAAGGGGATGCCTTTATCCCAGACAAATTTATCTTTTTAGAGTCGAGGAGGCTAGAAGTCCAAATTCCAGGTGCCAGCTCTAGGGGAAGTTCTCCCGCCTCTGTCAGCACTGGAACAGTGTCCTCCCTCCTCTCTCTGGACCTCTGCTCCTGGGCCAGCTTCATGTGGCTTGGCTTCCCTCCGGCTCCGCTTCTTTTCTTGCTGGCTCGTTTAGCCTCCTTTAGATCTCTGAAGATATACCGATCCTTCACCAACCCTCCCTCATCAACATGGCAAAGACCACCCATTTCCAAATGAGGTTATCATCCCAGGCATAGAAGCTAGGATTTTAGAACACATATTTTGGGAGAACACGAGTCATTTTTAAAGAGTGAGTTATCTGTTTGAACTTGAACATAAGTCAATAAATAAGGCAGTGAGTCAGGCCAAGCCTAGACCCCATTGGGAGCTTGGACTTCTTCTGAAAGCGTCATCAGGAATCGATAGGAGAAGTGCTGGGTTGGGGATGTTCTTGTTCCAACGGTGAGACCAACTGAGATGGAAGCAGGGACATGTCTCCAGGTGTCTTCTAGGTGAGGACTAATGGGCCTCCAAGTTTCCTCTTATTGCTGAAGCACTGTCTTCCAGGTCTTGCCAGGTGGCATGAAGGACTAAAGGCCCTTCATGCATTTTTTGGTGTGGGGGTGGTGGGATTCTTTTGCCCCAACTCCTCCTT